GCAACTTATCGAATAATATTGAATTAAAACGATTGTAATTGTTAAGAGATAATAGAAAACAAAAAAATTGTGAAAATATTCTATGTATTTTGTAATTCACCCATGACCTGTGCGCCATTCGAAATTAAATTATTATCTAACAGTCCAAAAATGATAACATATTTTGTGCTATAAACTCAGTATTAATCTTGGCTTAATGATTTTTTTATTGTTAATAATATTGCGATTTATCATTCGTTAATACGATAAGCGTCACCAGTGGCATTGTTTATAATACGAGCTTTCCTCACACGAGAACAGACGGACAGTATACACTTAACACCTATGAATAAATAATACATGTACAATCCTCCTCTCGGTCGTTTTAATATATATATCATTTACACGTGAAACTTCAAACACTCCAAATACCAACCCCTTCCGCCCCAAACGGTCACAATCTTCAACGCGGATTTAAAATATGCGTTGGACGACAGTTTAAATTTGAAATCAGAGATTGAAGATGATGATTTAGACAGATATGCGATGGTCTTGAGTAATAAACACGGCGTGTACCTACTATAAATATTATGTGTGTGTTCGAAATCAATTAAAAAAATTTTCATTTTTCAAATCACCCACATCGATGATAATATTATATTATAAAATCAATGTCCATCACCACTGATGCCACCGCGCATATTATAATGGGAAAACGGTAGAAAAAGAGTCACACCACTTACAATAATATCGCTACATAACACAATATCATAATGTACATATACGCATCGTAACGGCTATATAATATTATAGTAGCAGATGACCGGGTCCGGGTGTTCCGAAATCGGACTCGCTCTCAGATTTCACTATTAGCCGGGCGGCGGCGTCGACCGTTTCCCTTATTATTATTATATCGAAGCGCTGAGCCAACCCTATCCCCTGCAGCAGCTAGTTCCCGTACACACGTCACATACGCACACGTTTTCGCATAATAACGACGAAAGGCCAATCGCATGTGGTATTATACATATTATTATTATATATATATTTTATTATATGGGTATAGTACGGCCAAATGTGGTGAAATCACTGAAATCGCGGGGGTGTTATACAGTGGTCGTGGGGAGCGGCGCAGAGCGTATTACACTTACAATATATATTGTATTATGTATATACGCACACAATCGGACGGGATTTATATACATTTTCGGTATTAAAAATAATTCGGATTGCGGCGACCGGCCGACAGACAATTCGGACAATTCGGACAACAAACGACACGCACACACACACACAAAAAAATATACAATAATAATAAATAAATAATCAAACCCAAAACATAAAAGTGTAGTGTACCTATACTACATGTATACGCTAGCCAACATTACACTATTATAATATATAAGTGTCGTTGTCGTAATACCGTTATTGTGTCCTTTTTTTTTGGGACAAAATAATCAAAAACGGCGCGGCGTGTGCGCATATCTCGTTCGGACCTAACGGTTTTCGTGCTGTGCGTACCAATTGCGCAATGCAATACAATAAAAACTCGGCATGATTTGTGTCGGCGCGAGCGCGAATATATATATAATATAAAAGATCTTAGGAACCGGTGGATTAGTGTCCCACGACGATTTTCGTACAGTGCGAGTTGCGGGGGACGTGGTGGAAAAAAATAAGTCCAGCTACCTAAGGGGGTGTGTGCGGGTGTATATGTACTATAATAATATACTCTCTCTTCTCGGAGACCCGAAGAATCGATATTGCGCAATACGCCTTGTGTACCTATTATATGTATTATATTATATAAAAATATTACAAGCTTGAAGATATATGGACGAAGACCCATAGACATTTGTGATAATATAATAAATTATATATACGTGTACTAAAATAGCGTGTGCGGTACGAAATTGGAAAGTGTGAAATACGATTTTACGAAAGATTTCTTGTATTATTCAAAACTCTGAGTTTAATATTTTTATATCTTTATAAATCTCATAACGCAAGTGCGCGCCTTCCATTGTCCAAAAGGGCAACATATTATATTATCGACGAGACGGCTTCGGGAGAGGGAAACTTACACGATCGCTGTCTCCCAAAGATATACAGGGTGAGCCACTGTGTTTTTCTGTGCACCAAGATACTCGCAAGCTCTTAAGGTCGCGCATTAAAAAAAATTTAACAACCTCTAAAAAAGCCACTCAAATTCTGTCAATGCGTCACTTTAAGAGAATTTTAGCAGCTTTCTTAAAAGTCGTTAAATCTCGTATTTTATGAAAAATTCATTATTATTATTTATTAAGGATTATAAAATGTTGAAAGTTTGAAACTCACTTTGTACTGAAATATGGTGAATCACAGTACCAAATTGTTTTTTTTGGAAATCATGACAGATTGTGAAGTCGTTTTCCTCTAGTTCATTGATTATTCCATACTCTCAATATTGTTATACAGTTGTGCATTTTTATTTTTCACAACGAATACGATCAAATTAAAACAGATAAGAATAAAGCTAATAGCTTTAAGCTATATTGTTGTTTTGACACTATTGTAAAAAAAAATGTTTTGGTTGCATTAATGTTTCCGTCCTAAAACTTATTCTATCTCTCAAAACTTATTGCAGTACTTCACTTCACCTCCATCACCCGCAGATGTAGTTTTTCTGAGATTCAGGACAACTTAATGTTTGAACACAAAAAATATTCCTAATCTACTAGCTGGTTGTGCACGATTTTGGGCCCAGCTACCAGGTTTAATACAAAATAATCGCAAGAAGTACTACACTATATTTAATCAGATATAATATTTATATCATAAATTGTATATTGACTGCACATTTATAGACAATAATTATACATTGTACACTCTTAGGGTGCCTGCGCGCTCAATATAGGTGCCTATATAATCTACAGCTTTAGTTTTAAATACAACAGAACAACGAGATTTTGATACTTTATAAATTAAAAGTTTGACTCTTTTTCGTCTCTAGTTTATAATGGTTTTGGAAACGGCCGAGTTACTACAAGCGTACAGCGACGGTCGTAGTGTTAAGCGATCCGATTATTTAAACGACCCGTACGAAGTATTTCAAAGATTTATACGCAGCAGTCAGCCAAAAACCCTCGACGGTTCACATTTTACTTTCCCATCAGTGATTTAAATAACACCGTTTTTCAACCTGGGTGTTGCGCGATTGTATTTTTACTCGTGTCAAGATATTTTGGTGTTTTATAACAGTATTATCATACGACGTAAAATTATTACTTTTTTTTATAGGTAAGGAAGATACCTCCTAGTTTTTACTTAGCACATCAAATAATTAATATCCGTATAGTTCATATTATTGTAATACATCGTAATACAAATTTAGATTTTTACATTATACGACTCTACAACGACAACACTATAACTGTATTGTTTTCTTTAAATTTTCCGTTCAATTTTAAGACGAATAAAATGTTATTTCATATTTTGTGTTACTTGTGAGGGATGGACATCATGGACCTTATACTACTAGATAAGCACTATGTATAACAATGACATCGAGAGCGGCGTTACAGCATCCCACAGTGTTGTACAGACTATCCTTACCAAAATATACAATTTATTATCTATACATCAATTCATTATCTTACCTGCTGCCCACAGTACCGTTCGTAGTTTCGTACGAGTAATCGAGTAATCAAAAAGCGCCCTCTATGATGTTACTCTTTCCGTACACTCATTGCTTGTCTAGCAATATAAGATCTATGGGTGTGGATAATTCGAAGTGCGTATGCCGTACGCAGGATTAAAATTAAATTGGAAATACAATTTATCTGATAAAATACGTGTATGTGTACTATTTGAGTTCATTTGTTTGGATTTGTTTTAAAAGACAAACTGAAATTCTTGTTAATTAATAATTATTCCTGATTTAAATAGTAATAACTAATAAGTATAATTTGGTATATTATATGAATAAAATGTTCTCAAATGTCAATGATAAAATATATAGTCGCACCGATGAGTACAAAGAGAACGTGAATATAATATTTATAGGGGTTTATTTATTTATAAACTGGTGTTGTTACAAAACGTATTTTTTTTTTTTTGAAGCCTATTTTAAAAATGGGTTGTACACTAGTGACTTGTACACGACATTTTATCGACGGGATATTTTATTTGTATGGATGTATTTTTTTTTTCAAAAAAGATTTAATGGTTTTTAAGATTTGACATTTGACCATTCGAGTAGAAAAAAGGATTATTTAGTGACGATTGTGAGAATTGGGTCGTCAGATACATGTCAATGTATGTTTACGACCGTACAATATTTAATCCAAAATCAAAACATATAATATTGTAACTTGTGAGTAATAAATGGTTTTTTTTAAGGTAAAAGGTAAAACCCAAAACTCTACAAACGTACACAAACGGACATTCCGTATTTAAAAAAAAAAATATATGACAATAACTACAATAGACTACATACAACTAGAAATAACGATTATTTATACTCGGACGGATGAAGTGTGCGGAATATATTTCTTTTTGAGTGACTGTACAACAAAAAATATTGAAAAATTATTGCCAACTCAACGATCACCGGCCGTCACACCACCCCCGTCGGAGGACCGAACGCGCTAGAAGCAACAATGACATGCAAAAATCCGGATATTTGTTTGTGACAATATTTTTAAAAATCCCTATAGGTAATGTATTTTTTAAGACCCTTTTAGGAGACCCAAACGTCTTTTAATGAAGTCGCCGTCGACGTTTTACTTTTCCACCACCGCCCCCATGTCCACCGGTATTTTTTTCTTTCTTTAGCCAAGAAATATTGATTGATCGTATCCTCCGCAGAAATACGTATCACAAAAAGGTCATTGTCACGACGCACACAGACCGCCGTTTCCCCATTTTGCGGCACACAATAAACACAAAAATACATATATGCACACAGTGTACACTATAAACCTTCGGTCTAATCACCTCCTCACAGATTTATATTTATTTAATGCATTTCAAATACTCACTCTTCCCAACCGTCGTAGCCGTCTCTTATTGCATATCGAACCGCACTCAGAGTTGAAAATCATAATATGTTCAGCCGCCGTACGTTCGTGTCGCGAACTCTTAAATCTGAAATAAAACAGTTCGGAATTTTCAATAGTTTAATTTAAATTCGATATTGTAAAATTATATTATGCCATTATGCAATAAATTACTTACTATAATTCTATTACACAACGCAGCCAAAAGGGCTTTTCCACATTTTAACGTTTCGCAGTGGTGTAAAAACAAAATGTCAGTTTATCGTATAGTTTTACAGTTTATAATAATTATCGAGTCTATTCACAACATTTTGGAAATTCTTCTAGTTATTTTAATTTGTCCATTATATGTTTTTTTATAACATTATCTGCGATTCATATTCATATACGTCTACATCTTAAATGCCTGTAAATGTAATTCTATCCAATCCATATTGATCACATTCAGTTTAACGTCGTTTTACCATTTTTTTTAAAACCAAATAATATTGTGGTTTCCGTTTTTTTCGTTCCAATGTCTGTATATACTTGAAGGTAGCCGCTGCGAGTAGTTGTTGTTTTATTTTGCGACCAGATGTTTACAGAAATATTTCGACTCCATGGTAAACGCACATTTTTGACCGATCGAGCTCATTTTACGCGAGGGACCTTGCACCTGCGTGTTTAATGAAAAACAAGGTACAGCAACTGATTAATTACATGAACACTGAACATTGAGAACGGAAAAAAATATTATTGCAAGAAAATATTATACCTTCCTATGTATTGTTAATTATTATTATATAAATACATTTATAATTTATGCATTTTGCATAAAACATACCTACTGATGTTGTCCAATTTCATCAGTCACTACGAATCGGTAGTATAACTTACAATACAAATTATAACGAAAACAACGTTTTTTCTCATACCCAAAGTAAGAGTTTATTATCTAAGTCGGCTTGACATCATTAAAATATTAACAAGATAAACCTATAATATGAAAAATAAGGAATATTATACATTTGAAAATTAAATACTTATACTTGGTATAAGTCATAACTCATAAGATATATAATACAAAAGGTTGGTTACTCTTAATAATTGTGCGATGATTATAAACTCTTCGGACCGTAATCTCTAACGATAATTGGATAAGCTAATTTAGTGCTTGGTAATGTTTGTAACAATAATTGTCGGTCAGCAGCATTTAACCAGGGTTTATTACGGGTAGTAAAATGGTAAAGCGTGCGGTATTTATTTTTCAGTGTTAGCAGATCGAAAACGAACAAACGACTTCGGGGCGTTGTGTTACATAGTTATAATATGTAACCAGAAGTGCCTGACCGGTTTAGCTTCTCGTTGATAGCGACATCATCAACTCGATATTATAATAATATAAACGACAATTTCGGTGGGTACGTGCCGCAATCAGCAAGCGGCACATTATTTCGTCTAGTGTACCTACGTTTAATAAATAAACACTATTATACACGGCGTACAATGCACCTAAGTTCTCTCATTCGTTATGGCGGACGGCAGGTCTCTGGAATTAAAATTTATGATACGATTAACTAGCTCCACTCACTACTATTATTATTAGATATTATTATTAAACGTCCGCACGAGAGTGTACAACAATATAACGTGTTATTATTAATTATTTCGGGCATCATTACAATTATTGTCGTTTCCCCTGTAGCTCAGCGCTATTTTACGATCGAACCGAAACGATTTACGTTTTAAATATTTATAAATAATAAAATCGATTGTGCCCGGCGCGAGGGACGAGATTTCAACAGCAGAAGTACGCGTATTATAGGTATTGTATTATATTATTCCACGGCACTTTCGTGTCGTATTTTACTGTGCCGTCATCGTTGCTGCGATTTCAGAAAAACCCCATCGCACAGGCGCGGGTGTGTTGAGAACACACATTTATATATACAATATATATATGTATCATGCCGAGGGCGGTCGTCTCGCGCGCCGGCGTTCGACGGACCGTGTAATGTGCGTTTTTCACGGGAGGAGGAAAGACCTGGGAAACTCGAATAACCCGCCGCCGCCGCCACCGTGCCGGGTATTATGAAAATAATAAAAATAATAATATATTGTGCTATGTACGCGAGACGGAGGCTTGCGCACACTCACACACACATCACTCGTGTGGCAGCAGCGATTCTCCGAAATTAGACGAAAATTATACGGCCGGACGAGCGCGCGGCGTCTCCGATTTCTGGTTAAAAAGCCCATAAATCTCTTACTCGGTGGTACCGCAGCATAGCAAAGGTTAAAAAGACTATATGCCGCAGCAGTAAAAGACCAAGCGCACACGTGTGGCGGTTTTTCGGATATTGCTTGCACGTTTCACGCACACCGAGCGGGGAAAAGAAAAACGTTGTGTTCGAAACCGTTTTGCCCGCAGCGCGTCATTATTAATAGGTATACCATTCTACCTACCGCCTAAATATATTATACATATATATATGACGTGTGTGTGCGTGTGTGCTGCAGTAACATGCACGGCGTGAGCGTATATGACATGAGCGCTGGTTGAACCTCTCGATGACCTCGAGGGGGAAAACGCGCGTGACACGGGGGGTGAAAATAAAAAAAATCCAAAAAAATAAATAAATATATTATTATGCGAGGCGCGCGCGCGCGCGATGTGTACGCAGTAAAAAGGGCGAGCGCAGAAAAAATAATAACACGCGCGCACCCCAAAATGGAATTCCGTAAAAGAAAATGTGTGTAAAAAAAAAAAACCGTTTTCTGCCGCCGGCGCGGTATTATATACTTATACGTACCCCAGAGAGGCGGCGACGGCCGGAGAGGGGTCGACCGTGAGCAGCACACGCGCGCGCGCGCTTTTGAAACGCGCGCACGCGCCCGACGTTTCCGACCCCTAAACGGGCGGGCGGGCGGGCGGTGCGTACGCGGTTTTTTTCCGTCGATTTTTTTCGTTCCTTTTTTGCTATACGGGCCCCGTCGCACGCGCAACATCCGAAGGGGGAAAAAAAACGAGATTCGGTTTTGTTCGCGTTCGCGTTATATTTTCATTGTACGGTTACGGACGGTTTGTTTGTCGTCATTATTACTGTAGGTACCCATTATGTTATTACACATGATTTTTTTTTACGCGTAATGCGGCGGCACGAGACACGCTCGTCGTCTTGTTATTGGCCCCGGGCACGGCCATTTTCGAGCGCGGTTTTTTTTTTAACGCTTAAAAAAACACATCCACACGCTGCTGCTCCCCTCGCTTTAACCCATTTTCCACCACGGCCGCCATTTTGTCGAGGGGATTTTTTACGTCCGGATGTTGTTTTTTTTACGCTCGCGATGTGCCCATGTGAGACTATGCATAAAAAAACGGTTCCCCCATAATATCCGCTACTCGGTGTTTTAATATTAAAATCGGAGGCGACTAGAGCGGCCAATCTCGAGAGCTGAATGGAGGCGTCGACGGTAGAAAACAACATAAAAACTTCCACGTGAATAGAAGTTTTCCGGCCGGAAAAAATGTACTACCGATTCGACGATATCGTGACGAAAAAAACGGCATCACGAATTCAAGAACCACCGTCACCGTCGCAGCCATGATTTCGGACCTACCGAAATGCGATTCATAAAAACGCCGATTGCCATCATAAATCGTCACGACGATCGGGCGAAGTTCTATACACATAATAAGTTATAGGTACCTATTACCTACCACCGACTGAGGTTGCTGAAACACGGTTATAACTTATAACCAACTGCTATTGTTTTTAGGATTCCACCACAATAATATTATTATGTAATATATACATACTATAAAGGCACGATGATGAAATTATAACTTACGGTATTCGCGCAGAGATTCCATAAAAACAAAAATCATCATAACATGAAAATGTTTTATCATTTCTATAAATAAAATATTATAATATTGCTTTTAATAATCTGTGTTTAATTTTAAATTATCAAAGCCAAAAGCCTTTTTTTAAAAGGATTACTTTAATCAGTGTAATAGGTAACAATTACTGATTATATTGGTAAAAGGTTCATATTAATATAATAACAATGATGAACATTTCTTAATTTTTTAATTACCTTCTATTTCATCCAATCTAAGCTTTTCGGTTTTAAATTATAATTAAGACACTACTGTGCGTCTGTGCCATGAACTTAAAATTACTCTGTTACGAATGCTTACAAAAAAAATCATTGAGAATTAATGTTAATTGACTTAAGTCCATTTGGAAATCATAAATTATCGAATTAACACTGAGGGAGATAACATTTTAAAAACGATTTAAATTTATTCTTTCCCACAGAAAATCAATTAGAAAAATTATTTTAGAATCGCTACTCGTTATAGTCGCTCGTCTGCGAAGTATATGTGTATGAGTATGTTATATCTTATAGTAATAAACACATTAATGAGGTAGGTTTATAGATTTGTATTAAAAACTCAATAGTTATACTACTCTAATAATAGTTTTAAAAATTAAATCCAAATTAAATTACCTAAGCTACCAATACCTATTTTATTTTCGTAATATTCCCCGAATAATTTTGAAGTTTATTCAATAAGAACCATATAATTTGTGCCTACATTAAAGACCATTAAATAAAACATATTACAGACTGTAGTTCCCAGAAATAAGTTTCATTCCGTCCAAGAATAATAATTAGTATTATTACAATTATTGTTGTACAATTAAAACATTTCTGAACAAGTCAGACGTGTACGACCCGAACCGTAATTAATGAAATACTGTCGACTGTCGTAATAGTAAGTATATACTAATGTTTAATTTTTCGTGAAAATGATGTATTGAAAAAATAATAGTTATATTTGATTTTAATTACTTACAGAAAACATATTATAGGAATACATCTTTTTTTTTTGAATATTTGATGTGGCTATTATTGAATCATCAGAAAAAACGTATAGCATAATCAAAACTCAAAAATAAATTTCAATACTTCCCAAGACGTGTTTAAAATTTTAGATTCCTCAATTCTCTAGACACGTCTTATCAGATGCACTAGTCACTATACATAAAATAGTAAGTATTTCGCAAACGCTAGATTATGTAGTTCTACTCTCGAGATCGGTTCAAAATACAATACACGTATATTATAATATCATAAAATGTGAAGCACAAAAACGGGGTACACACAACAATAAGGAAGGTGGTAGGATGCGGTGTCGTTTATTGTTCAGTGTACATTCATTTATTTCCCGTCACAAAATGTAAACGCGAAACTTATATTTTACACTTCTGCGTATTTCTTTATACAGCGGGTTATACACTCGCATAACAATATAAAATAATACATACTTATAATACTCCATCCTCCTTGCGACCACCGTACCTATATTATTATGAAAATAATACGCGTTCACGAGACCCGGGGCAGTCGTCGTCCTCTTTTTAAACCCCTTTTAACTCGGAAATCGTTTTGTTTACGTGTTCTCGGGTCGGTGCAAGCATCGAACAACATTCGTTTTATCACAGTAAAAATGACAGCCATGGTTCGGTATTGACAACCGTCAGGTACATGAATTTATCATACGCACAGGTAGTCGTCCGCACAGCACACACGTCTACCCCCCTCGTAGTGGTATTATATTTATTATGGTCGTTTTTCGTACACAGAGGCCTCACTACTATTATTTTCGTCCGGTTTACGATGAATAATAGGTAATTAATAAATACATAAACTAGAGAATGGTATGATTTTATGATAGATTATGATGACACGTGACTGGCAGCTATCCATTTTTTCCTTCGGATTTCGAACGATCTATATTATAATAGTAATAAATACTATTATTTAATAATAACTCTTAAAACGATCCGATTTAAGAACACTATATTACTGAACTTGTGGGTTTATACGGAATTGTTAATTACAATTCCAAATACTGAAGAAAATAAGTATTATTGTGGGACCTCTATGGCTGTGTAGTCATCTTAGTCCCGTGAGCAACGAGATGGCAATATGAAATCATATGCGGGTTAAAAAATAAATCGGGAGTATAGTAAAATAAAAAAAAACATATTTTTTTCATTGGTAAACGTAAACACGTTTATTCTCTTCAAACAAATATTATTTGATAAGTATGATAATTATTAAACTTTTTGGCACATAATATTTTTATTATACATAGTACATGTAGTATTTTTCAACTATAAATAAAATTAGATAATCTAAATAAAAGAATACAAAAAACCTTTCAAGTTCACCTATGTTTGCATAGAGATATTTATTTACATAGTAAAACAGTTTATTATAGGAATACCTATACATAATAATATAATAAACTGTACAATTAACACACATATATATATAATATGTCATGTAAAATAAGACGACCGAGTGACGAAAACGTTAGATTGCTATACAGAGATCAAACTTAAGGTCTCTTCACATACGTGGTATATTATATATATATATTGTTTTATTACACGAGCGCGATGGCGCAATCTCGTAAAAGATGTATAATATTAATTATTACATAATATATTATGATAGTTTGTTACAAATAGTTATTACAATCCAAGACGGCATTTTCAAGATATTTTTAGTCTTAATTAAAATCACAGTATGAGGGAGGAGAGGGATGATTACGAACAATCTAATCACAAAAATGACAAAAATTTAGACAATATTATAATTATTATGTAGTGCATTAACGATACATATTATGAAATTAATATTTACAGACTATTATATTTTTACATTTCTATAAGAATTAGTCCTGATGCGTATGAAAGGACGAGTGCGCAGGGTTCTAACACAGTGCGACTACAAAATGTACAGATGACCTTAGCAGTTTCGCCGATCTCGCACCGAGTAGAATCCTGCGCAAGCTCCATACAGACGGGCATATCTTGGAGAGACGTGAGGGTAAGATTGACTAGATCTTCCATTAATGCCGTGATTGAGATTTTTTATATACAAGACATTCAAGCACCAACAATAAAATTCATATACTTTTTTACTTTTATAACATGTACAATTTAAAAAAACTAAAAAAAAGCCCACTTGGCAGATCAGTTAAATTTAATTTATACTTAAATAATTTGACGATATTCCGTCGAAAAACAACCTTATCACAACAAACAATAAAAACCAATAGTTTTTTTAAATTTTAAATTTTAAATTTTTTTATAGTATCTATCATAAATGCATACTGTTTAAGTATACACGATACTAAACTAAATTATACGAGGAAAAATAGGGAACGACTAGATTAAACAATAAAAATAAATGAGAATATGAGGTATTACGGTATTTAAACGTAAAAATTCAATATTTGTCCTTATTAAGTCAATCTCGGGTAGTTGGAAAGTTAAAAAAAGTATTTTTTAAGGATAAAAAAAAACATGAAACAAATTAACTAATAATTTGTGCTCAACTATGAGGACACGACTTAAATATTTTTAAATCGCTAAGACCGCTTCATTCCTCAAAAAGAAAATTAAAACATAATTAAAATTTTATTTCCGAGAAAAATATAACGAGAAAAAAATATTTAAAACGATAAACAATGAAGCAGCTATTATTATTTAAAACAATACTCAACGATAAAATATGAGCAATCACTATTTGAAGATACGGTAACTGACTCTTAAACGTTGACAAGTTAAAGTCAACGTTTAAGAACCGGAACCGATCAACAACACAGGTCGCGAATAATACAAATTAAAATCGTTTTTAGCTCTGCGCCAAAAATGATTTTCATTTGTACGAAACGTAGATCCGGCGCAACTGCACACTTATGGGGAGGGGAGTTATAGTTATTAAAAAGAAAGAGGTGTATAATATAGTACCTATGTAACATTACTTAATATTCTTTATCTGTTTTAATTTTTTTCTTACGATAAATCCTATATTACATACCTAAAAGGGTTAATAAATTGTTTTAAAATTTGTACTCTATTGTTATTTAGTGTCTTGACTGCAGCGGCGGCGGTGCAACTCCTCATTGCAGCCTAACTGTGTGGCACTCGAGCTATATGAGCGAAAAACGAAAACTTATCTGCCGTTATCTCGCCGCACAGGTTGCACGCGAACGGGTCCCTGAAGCTGTGGAAACCCATGTGCATCGAGTACATGATGTTCTCCTTGAATATTATGTCGCAGTGGTGGCACACGTGCGTCTCGTCTTCCTTGTCTTCTTTCTCGGGCGTCGAAGACGACGACGACGTCTGCTGCTGATTGTAATGGTGATACGGTTGGAATTCATCCTTTACCGGAATCGAAGTCTCCTCTACGGTTCCTCTTGACTCACTGCTGCAGTCCATCGGTACCGCAGGCGGTGACACCGGAACAACCGGCACCGATACCGACTTGGACTGCGGTTCGGTAACCGGTCGCTCGAGTTTGCACGCGATCCCCTTGCGCCGGCTGCTGCCCGCGGCGCGAGGAGCCACCGAGTCTCTGCTTAAGTTCAACGGTCCCGTCTCGATGGCCAGGACGACGGGCGGGGGTGAAAGATCGGCGACCGCCAACACGGGTACTTGTGGTTCGGGCGTCCGGTCACCGGCGCTACCGCTGCGTCCAGCCAATTCCACTTTGAGCACGTCATCTGGATGGTACTGATGACCTCGTTTATGGTAGTGATTGTTGTGGTGTTGGTGGTGGTTTTGTTGTTGGTTGAGGTGCTGTTGTACGTCCATCTTATCGTCGACCGACGAGGAGTTGTTATTATTGTTGTTGTTGTTCTTGATGGCCAAGTACTCGGCGGCCTGGTAGTCAACCATCTCTATGGAGCGCTTGGTGATCATTGAATACATGAACGACTCGGCGGAGGTCGGGTACGTGACCTGGGGGCATCCGGAAGCGGGCATCTGCAACAGCTGTTGCATCGAGTACGGTGATGGGTGTCCGCCACTGCTGCTGCCGCCGTCGTCCTGAGACGAACACACGGGCATAGACTGCTGGAGCTGTTGCTGGTGTTGTTGCTGATAGGGGTTGTGACGGTTTTGTTTCTTGTTCTGTCGCGGCCCCCGCCGGTTGCCTACCACGTCGATGACGATGTCTGGGTTTGGCGTGCCGTCTGGGTTGAGCGGCGTGGCCGGCCGGTGGTCGCGCTTCTTCAGATGCTGCTTGAGGCTGTGCATGTACTTGGATGCGTACCCACAGTCGTAACACTGGAACTGGAACACGTTCGAATGCGACTTGAGGTGCGATTGGAGCATCGACTTGCTCACGCACTTGTAGTCGCAGTCCGGGCACGTGAACGGTTTGGCGCCCGTGTGGTTCAGCAGGTGGTACTCGTAGTGGTGTTTCAGGTCGGTGGCAAACTCACAGTTCGGACACTCCAGCAACTGTTCAGGTTTGATGTGAGTGCGAATGTGCTTCCAGTACTGCACCTTTTCCGTGCACTCCAGCCCACAGTGTTTGCACTTGTGCTTTTTCGGTTTCTGTTCCTTGTTGTTGTTGTTATTGTGGTTATTGTTGTTGTTGTTTCCACCAGCGCCAGACCCTGGACCAGACGGTTTCGGGATTTTCAGGTCAAAGTCTTCGCACCCAGACAAGTCGCGGTAACTGGACGTCGGTGAGCTAGCCGAACTCCGACCTTCCGAATCTTCTTGCAAGTGATCGGGGCCCGACTGGAGATGATTGGACGCGGCGTGATGGTTGAGGTGATGATGGTGATGGTGTTCAAGCGGACGTGCGAGGTCGTACGGTGAATGGCTAATAATTGGCTGATGTTCGTTTTCCAAAAACATTTTTCTGCAAAACGACAAAGAAACAAAACGTTTTAATATATCCTATAAGCGTTTTTCTTTATGACGTAGTGTACAACGTTCACGCAGGCAAAATATTTCGTCGAATTGATTTTTAAGGGACGCGAAGGGGAAAAAAATAAAATAAAAGAGAAGTAAGAAGAAAGAAAAAAAGCCCCGGCGAGTTTTAGGGCGCATGACGTCGTCGTGTTTATATATATATATATATATATATATATGAGCATATAGAGGAGAGAGAAGCGATGATTGCCGGTATTGATTGGACCGGGGGGCGCAGTGTGAAAGAAGGCCAAGCGAGCGGGTAAAAAATCGTTTTCGCCGCAAGGGTCGAGTTTTTCATTTTTGTTTTCACCGCCGCGGTGTGCGCGGCGTGTGCGACGGCGGCGCGCGCGGGGCGGAAAAATGGCCGACCGTTCCCTGGACAAAACAAAAAGCCATAAAATAAATGCCTCTTCAAGCACGGGGCCCCTCTTTCTAATGAATAAGGGAAGGGGATGATCGGGATAGAAACCACCGCCGCCGTGCATACTTTTTTCCTTCTTTTTTTCTACTACCGCCACCACCCTCACATTTCATCACCCACTACGTTGTATTCCGCGTGTCCTACTCCTTTTTCTTTCTCGGAATCGTCTCCGTGTGCGTGTGTGTGTGTGTGTGGTTTCGAAGAAAATGGTTTTCATTTGGGGTGAAAGAAAAAGAGATGGACGAGAAAGTGAGTGAGCAGAGGATAAATACGCACGCGAGGGGAAGAAAAAAATAAGCAAGGGAAAGTTTCTCGCCGAAAATTGAACATTATTTTAGTATTAATATTTGTATTTTTATATATATTTGTATTAATAACCTATAGGTAATTTACCTTGTTTTAAAATAATAATTTGTCACTAACTACACAAAAATCATAATTTTTTTTTAGATTTAAAAATGTATAATCATAAAATTATTGGTCATTTATATTTTTGAACGTTATATTTAATCTAATTCCTGTAAATAAGAATTGGTATAGATAATATTTTAGATAAATTAATTATTTAGGTTCTGTTGAATTATATTAATTAGGTAAGTACATTCAATTTATAATAATAATTTTAGCTATCAACTGTAAATTACGAATAGACAATGGTAAAGTATTTATTTAGTATTAGTCAGCAATTATCATTCAATTGTTCAATAGTCAATAGTTTCAATTAACCATCTGTTTGAAAAAGTAGGGTAGTTAACAGTTAACACATAAAAATTAATGTTTAAACGAAATACTTAAATTGTTACATCCATTTTTAAAATATTTTTATATTAAAAACAACAATTATTATCACGGAAGAGATAGTTGTTCAACAATTACCATATTACTTACAATTAAATTATAAACCTTATTATGTTAATTTGTGTCAAAATATTTAATTTCTCTTTCTCACTCCAAAATAGGGAGTAGATAGAGTAGTCTAGTATAATAGAGGGTTACTCAGATTTCATAACAATTTAAAAACATGCTTTAATATAAAACATAATATGATACTAGATGTACATGCTTCATTTAAATATTAAACGGGTAGGTATACTTGTCCATTGTTGTAATACAAGTCCCTATTGGCTAAAAATGTATACGTCGATAAGAACTTACTTATCGTTTTAAATGTATTTTAGTTTTTTTTTAAACAACTATTCCCGTTTGAAACCAAACGCAATATGTCGTCGTTAATGAGGTGTCTACCTATGGTACCTAGAATAAACGTCGTGTTAACTTATCTTTGATGATTATTGAAAAAACACGCTGAACCGGTGTTTGGTTGGCTTTTTTTATCTATATATAAACGTAACCACTGCACAGACTATTCAATTAAATTAGTTTATTCTTTATCCACCGGGAATTTCGTAATTATTAAAAATAAAATGTACGAGTTGATTTGTTGATTTTTAATTGACATGGATAGAAATAAATTCATAACAAATACAAGAGAACGTACACATTTTAAATAAAGCGCTATAATAGAGACATTTTATTAAAAAAATTTAAAATTAACGTAGACACAATATTCCCTCAATAAGACACCGACAATATTTTCAATTGATAAAAGTATATTTTGTAATAAAGCAAGTCTAAAAATCATAATGGTGAATTGACTGAAGGGTGCGCTATGCGCGTATTTATAAAGGGTTACTTGTAGTGGGTAAACCCCTTCTGTTTAATCAACTCCCTCTATACAATGATCAATTTAGATATTATTTTTTTTTTGATCATAAGGGTGTCCATCGCTAAAGTATAATAAGTATAGTTATACTATCGTCTCATAAATAGGCATTCATTTGTATCAATCCTTGATACACTTTGGGTATAGCAGAGATCGCCCCCACAAAAACAAAACAAAATTACGGTCCCAATAATAATTGTAATACAAATCATAAATGTTGATAACTTACTGTTTAAGCGTGTGAGTTTTCTTTGATGATCGATCAACAATAAGTCATTTGTAGGTCGAAGCGGCTGGTAAGTAGTGAATAGCGAGCGTGATGTGTCTTGGATACTGTGGTGGACGAATTTCTTCTAGATTGAAATCGTCGATAACATGACCGGTGACGGATGCAACAACGGAGCGCGATTCAACATTAACAGCATTTCGACAACGATAAAAAAATGTAATTAATATGATAATGGTATTAAATCCGCGAAAGTCGGACGACCGCGAAGTCCCTCGGACACTATATTTATAATTATTATAAATACGAACGACGAGCCTCTATAAAATAGGTGCCAATATTGTTTCTATTGTATGAATGCAACACTGCAATTATTGTGTACAGACAATACCATAAATACGAAGTGGAAAACAAATAAAACGTTTATGCGGAATCCGCACGTGACCGATACACAAAAAGCGCACAAGTACAACTGAGGAGCACTGCACGGACCGGTCTGTGCGTCGCGTCGGTGGCGGCGATTATTGCAGGTTCATCTGCTGCCGCGGGCTCGGTTAACCTACCCCAACGGATGGACGATGTTGGCCCCTCCGCCGACTACAGTCGCCGACGGTGCCCGACAGTGCCCGACGTTTCGCGACTCGATACACGCCCACCGAAATGCGCTCGCGTGTGCGTGTCGGTTTTTTTTCTCCTCTTCCACTTTTTCTTTTTTTACTCTTACCCGTCCGCACGAAAGGATTGGACCGGGCCCCGTAATTGGGTGTGTTTTTACCGCCGCCTCTCTGTCAATAGAAATACGCCACCGTAGAGCGGTAATATTACCATACCGCGTAGGTACCTTACCTATGCAGTGTATAAGTAACTGTATAATAATAACAATTATTAATAGTAAATTATGTAGGTATGTTAATATTGGTGTTGTACGATTTATTTTTATTTTTAGTCGAAGCGCGTCCAAACGAAACGAGACGAATAGAATCCGTTTAAAAATAAGCGATTTTCCACAGACATAATTCGTAGACGAACAACATCGCGTGCCATAACGTATCGTATTGTAATTACGTATAGACACAGCCACATGGATGAATACTTACACGGCGCTGTACCAGGCATTAAGTGCACATTAATTTACAATATGAATAAATGATAAAGATAAGAATTGATATGATATCGCGAGACGTTGGACGCGACGGTGAAACAAAATGCGTAAGCGTACATAGACTATAGACTCCCAAGTGCAAAACGGTAAAATTAAAAATCGGAATACAGCGCATTAGGTACTCATCAATAAATTATAGTGTGTGGTACATTACAAAGATTTACAAAACGATTTTTTTTCCTTTTGGAAGAACGCACATTACGCAAACGTTTGCAGGATACATGCCCGCATGCTTCGTTAAGGTTGCCCGAAATAATGTTTATAAGTAAAATCTTAAAAATCGATTAGACATTTTGTTTATTCAACAAAAAATACCAACACACTATTCACACATGATTGATAAACATTTAAAATATTTTGGATTATGGAATATTCTAAATCACAACAGAATTAGTAGGCGATCATAAAAAATAAAACCTCAAGGGCTTATCATTTAAACAACATAAATTATTGTTATTAATAATTATTTATTTTTATTTGGGAAATAAAAATTTCCTATTGTAATTAAGTTATTTTATATATTATGCACCAACCTGAAGATCAGCAAATAGACTTCGGTTTCGTGAAAGCCTGATCAAAATGGTTTGAAATTTAAATATCTATTGTAAGACAATACATTGATACTGTGTTATCTTATTCCGTATATTACAATATTATGAATTTTAATTACAAAACTTTTTTATACAACGCAGAGATTATTATGGTTAAAAACAAGTTGAGTAATCGGAATTTCCGAATTATAAATATTCATAATACCATTTAGGTGTACCTATGGGCCATTAAAGCTATTAAAAATGTCTAAATAACATTATAAAATCTGTTAAAAAATGTCAATAGTAGGGATACTCCTACTACAATAGTACAATGGATGTTAGTTGTTACTTATTAGTAGGAATGTATAAGATGTTACTCTACTCTATAGATGTAACATGTTGTAACAACTGCAGGCAATTATAATTTTTGAAAGTAATTTATTTTCGTTGTTTAAATATTCGAATAGTCTACCTGCCTATACTATGAGTTTAAAATACTTAGAAATATTAAAACATTCTTAATGTACTCATAATGTGAACAATACTATATAGCAATGATGTAATGATACGTAACATACGAATATACGATAAATATGTAATATTCACAAAATAATTATTTTTAAATTATAACAGTATTGAGCTCTGATTGTAATTTGATGTGGGTCGCTAGTAAAATTTATAATTTGTATAAACATCACGAACTAAAATAGTATAGATTGGAAACTGCTGATTAAAACATTGTTTGTTTATAGTCATTGTAGATATTTTGTTAAATTAATAAACCTTACAGTTCAGAACTTAAATTAACTAAATTTGATATGTGACTATACATTTTTCTTTAGAATAAAATAAGTTTATTCAAATTGAGGCCTTTGAATAATGTTATATTTATTTTTTGGCCCTTGACATCAAAAAGGTTTCCGACCCCGGGTTAGAGTATTCACCTATACTAACGTAATAAGTGCATAAAATAGTGAATTTTGGAAAATAATATATGGACAAAACCAATGGCTATAAACCCACAAAGCTTGAATGTATATGAATAAAACCGTGTACTCTACCTATAATTAAGAAGTACCTGCCTTAAATAAGTATTAGTATAGATATTTAAATCTGATAATAATAATCAAACTAAGTGCACTTAGTACCATGGTACACATTTGAATAGTGGTCAGGTTAAATAATAATTAAGTAGCATACGAATACCTAATCCAACTAGGTACGTGAAATCTACTTGTAACAATTTCAGGAACAGCGCAATCGGTTATCTTGATTTTTTTTAAATCGTAGAGTTTATCACATTAAGGTTTTAAGCATATTTCAACCACTATAGTTAAAAATGGATAGACCACACATGCATTTTTTACAGCTTTTTTGCATTTCAGCATTTTATTTAAGTGGCTATCATAGATTACATATTACATTGCCTACTATAATATTATAATAAGTAAAAACATGGCATAACATTTTTTTTCACAAATTTTTTTTTTTAAACAAATCTTTGGCCTGGATAACATCGGGCAAAACAGCTAGTATTATATAAAACTGTTAAGTATAATCATTATTTAATCTGATTAATTAATTTGATTGTAGTTTATAGAATTAATCCGAGTTTTAAATTTTAATTGTTTTATAGTTATTTCATTTCTTATTAGTTACTATTTACCTACTTCTACTACTATATAAATATTTAAAGTGCAGAAAGCCACAGGGTATGATTTATCTAAATGTAGAAAACGAGGTTCTTCTATTTATTTTTACAAAAAAGTATTCAAACCTCATATTTAATATAACTATTTAAGTATTTGTTTGAAGATGTTAGCATTGAAAATCTTTTTCATACAAAGTATGTTTCAATATAATTTAATAAAAAAGTATTTATATGTTTTTATTGTTCTTAATAAAATATTAAATATGCCACCTATTTATATTTTATATTCTATCATAAATACACATTACAAGTTATTGACTTATTGTTATTTGTTATAGTCGTATATATATTTATATCTTATATAAAAATAAACCATAACAACAATTAAATTGGATGGATATCAGGTTTTTATAATAATTTTTATTTTTTCCACAGTCGTTTTAATTAGTTTAAATCATTCACTCAAGATAAGACACATTTTTACCTTTATAAATATATAATTATTATAATTAAAATTGTATTTTGTGACAAACGGTTTAAATGTGATATTCGTACATAATAAGATAGTAAGACAAATTCACAAACGTATAGTATATTAGTAACAAACATAAAGTAAAATAATATTATACGTTATATCTAATAAATAATGGGCACATTAAATATTTTATAACTATTAAATTTACAAGCTATTGGTAAAATGTTTACATACAACGTTAAATAGGTACTTGCAGCTTAATAATTATTTAAAACGATAGCGATATTTACATCCCACAGAGATTTTTCGTTCACTTATTAAATGGATATTATAAATAGTATTTTGTTTTGGTAAACATCTTTTAATTTTCAGTGCAAAGGTAAATGTTACGATTTAAATTATTTAATACTATAGTTTTTTAACCCACGGAATTATGTTTTTTTACTTACCTTTTATAAGGTTTAGGCACCTATAGCAATTATAATTTTAAATACACATTTTAGAAACGAAAATGTTTATTTTTAAATTTTAATCTTTGAAAATAACAAAGCTGTAGGATCTTATTATCGTAATGTATTTAATAAAAAGGTAACAAAAAATATGTAAGATTGTAAAATATATGGGAAGTTTCCCAAAACCTAAATAATCAAATGGACAGTGAAATTATTTTAATATCCATTAAAAAATTTCGCAAAATATATTAAATACATATTTACATTTGGATAATTTTTTTCATTAATTTATAGCAATATACCTATACAAATATTATATTTATTATTAAAATAAGATAACATTTGTACAATATGTTTAAGTACCTAATTTTTTATAATTTATTGCATTAATATTACAGTATTATTATTACTCTGCTTGAAATGCAATTTTATGAAAATCAGTTAGAAACTTTTTTCTTTTGCTTATATTATATCCATTATTTTGTTCCATATAATTATAAATTGAAAACTAACAAAAAAAGAAAAACCCAGTTTGCAAAATTGAAAAATAAAATATTTATAGGTACACGACAACACGAATTATTGTTGGTACAAATATTAAGACGACAGAAAAAACTAATCCTAACGATTAATTGTACTATATTTTATTATATAAAATAAAAAATGTAGGTTAATTATTAGTTTATAAATATTAAATAATATGTTGGAGGTATAGGTACCTATGGGTCGTGAAAGTAATGCGCAAGCGGTTCCCACGGCGTCGTCGATTTAAAAACTAAAAAAAAAGAAAAAAAAAAGGTACCTATAGGTATTTCTTAAAGTATATTATTACCATTACACCAATTGATTTTGACTACTCTTGTCTCGTATCAAGATACATGGGTTTTCACGAAGGATTTTCTATGCAGGGATGAATCACTCCTAAGTCCAAGGATGTTCCTAATTGACCCCGAAGAAGTTCTTGATGGATGTTGTATCTCAAAAATCAAGAAAAACATATATTCTTCTAATAAATAAAATTACATGTTTTTTAAAATATGAGAAGTGTAAAACGAATATTTATTAATATTAGGTCGGTAGAGAGACGAGAAAACTATACGAGCATGCTTTAGACTTTCAATGAAATTGTCCATTCCTGTCCATTAAAAACCGTAAAAACCCAACTTACTCTTATTATATTAATATTCAACATTATTAACAGTGATAAACACTAGTGAAATTTTAATGATACATAAAACAAATTTTAAGAATTAAGAATTAATGCAATACCTATA